CTACCTCCACACACTCTTTTTCTCTCCTTCTTTCTTTTTTTTGAAAAGAAGGCATCCTCAATCTGCTAATTTATTTTTTTATTCAAGGAGACAGAGATCCAAATACGCTAAAGCCCAAAGAGGATTTTATCACTGACCTGAGTTGGACCAGGACCTGGACCAAAGTCCAAATAAGCTCCAAGGAGGATTCTCAAGGGAGCTGGGACCGTAAGATGGTTCCGCTATCTACACTCATTCCGTTTGAAGCCTGTACCCCAACCCAAAGCTTCATGAAAGATATTCATAACGTCGTATTGTCTCTACTACAGGCGCTGTTCATTGCAGTGTCCTGGGAAATGGGAACCATTTCCTCCGAGCCACGGCCTCTGAGTTCCTGGGTTCCTGTGTGTGCTGGTGCCTATGCAGTGGGTTGTCACGTGGGAGGAGGAGGGGATGTGTAGCTCGGGAGCATGTTTAGCCAACAAAGATCCATACAGAGCTATGTGTCTGCCTGAAAGTAAGTAAAACGGGACTTTTTAGCAGTGGGCACGACTGAAAAAATAAATTCCAGTGCTTTCTGTGTGGGTGGTGTTTTGTTTGAAACACCTTGCCATACGTTTGAACTTGAGCTCATTGTCAATTTTCACATTTTATTTTCTAAATTTTAAATTGTAATTTATGTGTAAGAGTATTTTGTCAACTGGGTAGTGGTGGCTTTTAATCCCAGCACTTAGGAGGCAGAGGCAGGCAGATCTCTATAAGTTCGAGGCCAGCCTGGTCTACAGAACAAGTTCCAGGACAGTCAGGGCTACACAGGGAAACCCTGTCTCAACAAAACAAAACAAAACAAAAAACAACAACAAGCAAAAAGTATTTTGTCTATATGTCTGTGTGCCACATGCATGCCTGGTGCCTGTGGAGACTAGAAGAGGGCGTGGGATCCCCTGGAACTAGAGTTACAGATAGTTGTGAGCCACCACAAGGGTGCTGGGAATTCAACTTGGGTCTTCTGGACAAGCAGCCAGTGCTTTTAACCCCTGGGCCATCTCTACAGCCCCATCATCATCAATATTAAATACCAGCAATGCTCCCATAAGATATTCAGGTTCCAGCTTGCTTTTTTGGGAAAACCAGGCCACTTCACTGTTCCACAGTGAATGGACCTTGAACCAGGAGCCAGAACAAACTCTTCTTTCCTTAAAAAAAACGAACAGTTCACTTCCTGTTGTGGGAAAGAAGAGCTGAGGAGCAGAGCCTGAGCCTCATGTCTTCCTCCTCCATACACCCCAATCTACCCTTTCCTGCCTCCCACCCCACCCCCTATTTTCATAGGTCTTTAAGAACAGCACAAATCTGTTATGAACGTTTGGGTGTACCTGTCCAACTGACGAGGTGCCAACCCCTTTTTCTAAGAGCTATCCTATGAATAAATGCCCAGGGAGGAGCTGCAAGAAACTCTTATCACCACAGCCTGGGGCCTCCCAGCACCGGACCCTGTTTACTCTTCTGGTGGGTCCACTGTTAAGGGAGGAAGCTATCTAGCTCCCTCTAGTGGAAAAAGAAGGGATTGGCAGTAGTACCTGTGCTTCCCCGGAGGTAGACTGAGACCACAGCCAGCAGGTTGACAGCAAGAGGAATCTAGACTCAGAAAACAATGATGTTTTTCAAGTATTCATCTGCCCTTTGCCTAGTCAAGAACTGTGCTCGCTGTCACAAAACCTGAGTAGCCACAGGAGCAAAACTAGTTTCAGGAGCTTGCCTCCTCTGCTGGAGAAGAAAGCCACACCTACACTGAACATTCTAGAAAGACTAATTAGAGCTTTAGGGAGTATAGGGATGTTGGAATGCTGCAGATCCAGATCCTAATATCTGAGGCTGGCTTAGCCCCCTTCAATAGCTGTTTATTGTGTACCTCCCAACAATCTTGGGATGCTCATGTAAATTCTTTTGGAATCTATGAAAAGATCCCCACTGGTAGATCCCCATCAACCCCAAGGCTGCGAATGTCATCAGACAGCATCTGGAGCCTTTGACAGAGATTTCTCCGCTTTGTTGTCAACTACCTACCTTGTGTTTGCACCAATGCATTTGAAAGTGCTGATTCATGATTTGTTGTTGTTGCGTTACTATAGAAACTTCAGGAAACTGTTACTAGTTTGGAACATGGAACTTGAGGTAAACTAAATCAGTTTTACTTGGCCATAGTCACTCATATTTGGCTTCAGAATAATCAATCACCTTAAGAACAGTGTTTTATCTATCTATGTATCTACCTATCTGTCTGTCTGTCTATTTATTTATTTTTGGTCAGACAAGCTTTTACTCCTGTATCAAAAACATTTTAAACACTAGGCAGGCATTCTTATATTTGACAAATAATCAAGTGAACTAACTACCAGAACTCACAGAGCCCTGAGAGAATTAAGAAGTAGTCTGTCATCAGGACCTGGAGAATCACCTCCATGCTGTGTCCAGTGTCTAGCACAGGTAGCGCCAGTCCTCTAGAGGGCTGGGCCATGAGGGAGAACCCTAGAACTCAGGCTCAGTGAACCCCAGTTCTCTTTTAATTAATTTAATTAATTTTTTAAAGATTTATTTATTACATACACAGTGTTCTGCCCGCATGTACACCTGCAGGCCAGAAGAAGGCACCAGATCTCATTACAGATGGTTGTGAGCCACTATGTGGTTGCTGGGAACTGAACTCAGGACCTCTGGAAGAACAGCCAGTGCACCTAACCCTTGAGCTATCTCTCCAGCCCTAGTTCTGTAAACTGGTCAGAAAGACTCAGTCTACCATGTGTGCCGGAGTCCCCTCAGGATCCCCACCAAGCCCCCTCTGCACATCCTGGCTGCAGCTCTGTGTCTGGGGTGCCTCTAAGTCTCACCTCCTGGGAGAAGAAGACAGCTGGGAAAGTCCAAAGGCCACAGGGAGGTGCGACCAGAAGCCGGCTGGACTCTCAAAAGCAGGAGTGGCCACTCAAGCGGGGTTCCTTGGGATGCGGCATTGTCTCAGGGGCTCTGGCGCCACCGTTGACCAACAAGGTTAGGCGTTGAGCTTTCCCTTTTGTGGCCCCTGACCTAGACATGCTCACCTAGCAGGCTGGGCTGAGTAGGAGGAGGGGAGGACTCTGGGCCCCTCCCCTCGTCCTGCCTCCTCCTTGCCCCCAAGGTGAGCGCTTTGGTCATTCCCGCAGAGCACATAGGGCGCAGGTGGTACAGCCCATTGTCCGTTCTAGAGAGATTCCAAGGCGGTTGGGCAGTGGGGACAGGTTCCCAGAGCAGCGCTAAGCTTCATCCGGTCAAGAGCAACAGCGGACTTGGAGTTGTGGCCCCCAAAGATTGATATCTAACTGCCAATTAGATTTTAGAAGTAAGAGTTTGGGGAAGGGGTGAGTTGTTTGTTTTTATTTTAAGTGGATGAATGTTTGCCAGCTTGTATGTATGTGTGTCGCAAGTGTGCCTGGTGACCATGGAAGCCAGAAGAGGGCGTGGGATCACCTGAAACTAGGGTTAGGGATGTGCATGAGCGGCTATGCCCGCCCAGGGAACCTAACCCAGGTGCTCTATGACAGCAGCCAGGGCTCTCAACTGCTGAGCCAGCCCTCCAAAATAAGCCTGAAACAGAGATCCGATCTCGGTTTTGGTTTTCATAAAACAAGAACACTTATGTTCATCTTACAAGGTTGGTCTAAGACCTGAAAGAATAAGTTCATCGCTGCTAGTTTGTGGGAAAATGGCACTCGGTAAAAGTAGTTTCTCCCTGAGAGATTCTTAGATGACAAAAGATTCTGTCAGGTGCTCCAGCATGAATGAACCATGTAGACCTCACACTAAGGGAAATTGACTATCAATAAGCTAGTCCAAAAAAAAAAAAAAAAAAGGTTGTCTTGTGAACTATTCCACTTTCATGAACTCCCTAGAGTAGTCAAGCTTGGAGCCCAGAGGTGGGGAAAGGGTATCATTTAATGAGTACATAGTTTCCACTGTGGATGAGAAAAGTTCTGGAGATGGATGAGGTAGATTCATGCCACAGAACTACACACTTTAAATGGTTCAAATGACAGCTTTTACATTATGTACACTTTACCGCATTGGCATTTATTAACTACTCTAAACCGCAAATGACTGGTCATTGATAAATATAAAGAACAGACTTAAGAGCAAGTTATGGTGGCATATACCTATTATCACAGCACTCCAGATCCTGAGACAGGAGAATGGAGAGCTGGAAACCAGCCTGGGCTATACAGTGAGATCCTTTCTCAAACTAAAAATGAGAGCTGAGGGTGTAGCTGGACAGTACAGTACTCACTTAGCATATGATGGGCTTGCGTCATATATACATGGGAAGGGGGGGGAGAAACACTGACAATTACCCAGATTAAGCTCCTAAAGGAGATTGAAAATGTAATGAAGAGATAGAGCACTGCAGCCCAGAGCTTGCTGTGTCTACAGTGTGAGCAGTCAGCATTCCTGTCCCTATAAAGAGCTGGGCTGCAGCCTCACCCTGGAGGGCTTGGGGGAAAGAGAAGTCCCACGCACACTGTACTTGTCCACAAGCAGCACACGAGAATGTTCTATGTAACATGAATATTAAAAGGTCTTATTAGTAGAAAACCTGGAGCCAGACATTGAAGTGAAAGCTGAAAGATCAGAAGCAGAGCAAGTCAGCCATAAATTCTTACCTCTACAAAATCCTCAGTCTAAAGAGTGGAGGAATGGATCCAAGATACAACTAATGTTGAATCTCATGACCATTCCTCCAAGGGTGCTGATCTTGCCTTTAACTGCTTAATTATCCTTCTGTATTGTGCATTAGCATTTTCAAAAGCCAGAGATGTGATTATTATCTGTCTAGCTTCTGAGATGCAACAGTTCTAACTCTCTTTCCTTTTGTCCTGGCAAATTCCCTGGTAAAAGTGTAAAGTGTGGAGCCCTCCATGGGATTTCTAGAATAGTCAAACACAGTGTGAATCTTTGAATTGATTTGTTCCTTCTGTCCTTCATTTATAAAATATAATAATAACCCTTAGAGACATAATGCTCCATGATGGATAATATGGGATTTGTAAATGTAGAAAAGGTTGGATTCCCAGTCCTGAGCACCTTATACACAACATAGCAAGAAGAAGCAAGATCTATACTTGTGATTTGAATAGAGTAGAACTGAGTGGTGGCCAGAAGTGGTGATCTCCACTACAGGCTGAACTGGAGAGGTGGGCGTCTCTGGGAGGCAATGGCATTTTGCCTAGGGAAGAAGTTGTGCAGACAGGAGGCAGAGCTGAAGCTGATCTGGAAGCTGAGTACGCCTTTTAAATGGGCTTAGAATGCTTGGCAACTGCTCTCACCTTCTGACTTCTCTTTGCTTTGTTTCCTTCCTAGGGTCCATCAGAGTGCTGCTCTTCGATCTCTTGGGTGCCCCAAGAGTCTGAAAAAATGGCAGCAGCAGTGATTGTCCGACTGATCCCTAAGTTGCACTCAATGGCCAGCCGGGAATCTGGCTACTACATTGGCCGGCAGCTATGGTTTGGGCTGGTGGTCTTGTATGGCATGGTGCTGTATGTGGCCTACATCCCTTGGGTCCACATCAAGGAAGATTTCATCTGTCATGGAAATATCACGTTGCCATGCCTGATGAAGTGTTTCGGGGAGAGATTTTCCGTCCCTATACTGGGGACGTGGTACTTCTTCTACTTCGTTTTCATAGCACTCTTCTGCCTTGTGGAAGTCTTCATGACTCAGCTCCGGCAGAAGCACGTCAAGGCGATGAAGTCCATGGTGTCCATGATGTCCATGGCAAGGGACTTAGAGGAAGGCTCCATGGTGCCAACTAAGGAGCTGAGTGCCTCCTGGAAGAAATCTATCCTGAACTTGCACCGGGAGAAGATTCTCCTGCTGTTGTACCTCCTGTACTTCCTCCTGCAGGTCATCTTCCAGTGTGTGTTTTTATTCATACTCCTCTTCCAGCAGCTTCCCCTGTTGAAACAAGGCAGCGTCCACTGCAGCACCAGCAGCTGTCCTGGCCCCTATTGTTGCCTCATAAGGGCCTCGATGGAGAAGCAAATGTCCATCTATATTCTCATCACCCTGTCTGTCTCAATCATCCTCCTTGGCACAAGTTTCTTCGCATACAGCATTTACCACTACCTGCTGAAGGACCGGGCCATTTCCAAGGCGCAGAGTTCTTGACATCTATGAGAGACAAGACCTTCCTTCCTTCCTTAAAATCCTTGCTCTCTTACATAAGGAAGTGTATATTCTATGAATTTTTTATTTGCTGACTTCATTTAATGTTTGTTTCTCAAAAATAAGGGTTGTTGTGTTTTCTTTCTTGAGGGCTCAACTGGGGGTCATCTAACTCTGGAAGTGCATGAACACACCCCACAGTTGACTGCCAGGCTCTTGTTAGGCATTAGTCCATTTCCTCTGCACAGTCACATCCAAGGTGGATTCATTTCCTTTCCTGAGACCTAGGAAGATAGATGACTGGCAGGTGCCACATACAGTCAGCAAGGCAAGCCGGCTTTGAAGCCTCTGGCCTCCCAAACATTCCTGCTCTAGAAGCCTTCTCATCAGGATTAACCTCCCTGGCATAGAAGCTTAATTTTTTTTTTTGTTGTTTTTTTTTTGTTTTTTGGAGACAGGGTTTCTCTGTGTAGCTTTGCACCTTTCCTGGGACTCACTTGGTAGTCCAGGCTGGCCTCAAACTCACAGAGATCCGCCTGGCTCTGCCTCCTGAGTGCTGGGATTAAAGGCATGCGCCACCACCGCCCGGCTAGAAGCTTAATTTTTAAAAGCAAGGCTAAGTTTTACTCTCCTAGTGAGTCCTATAGAAGGGATGAGCAAGGTCAAACGGGGCAGAGGGCTGGGTTGTACTCACAGCCATCTCAGATCAGGGTGGCATCTTATTCCTTTCCAGTCAGAGACAAGAGATCCTAGGCAAAGCTAGCTCCTACTGAGGTGTTCACAGCCTTAGAGTGTCCTTCTAAGAAAGGCATCCAGGTATTGGCTAGACAGGATGGGACTTCTTGTCATCCTATAAATGATGAGGTGGAGGACTCCATCTTCCATTAATAGCAAGATTGGTTTCATGGGCTGACCACCCATTTTTATTGCCCTAAATGGACAGAGCTGGAAAAAGGACCCATTGCCAGAAGCTAAGGCCATGAAGCATGGAATGTTGGGGAAAGAAAAAGGAGGTGGCTGGGAAAATCCAGTATGTACGAACTGATGTGAGGTGGCTGGGGAAGCCACTAGGTACAAGGTGAAGTGGGAAGCCAGTGATGCAGCATCCTGCCAGCTTCACATAGAGGACTAGTCACAGATGCTTTATATCTCCCATCACACAATCTTGTATGATGCAATCTAATGGCAGATCCAACATTATAGCAATGTTTCCACAAATATTCACCCAGTCAGCATATTTACTGAGCCCTAACACGGTCCATGTGCTGGAGCATATATGACTTTTAAAATCGGAAAAAGCAAATTATAGAGACAGAGGGCAGTAAATAACAGCATAAGAGGAAGCTAATGGCATATGACACTGGCTTCACAAGCTGCTCTGCCCCAGAATCAAGTCAGAGAAAGCTTCTCCAGAGAAGGGTCAGCTGAACTAAGCCAAATGAAAGACGTGGTTGAGATCTGTCTGGACATAACTGAAAATAACACATCAGAATGATCTATGGTAGACTTAACCAGTACCATCATGTTACTGCTGTATTTTAATTAAGCACTAAAATGGGTGAGGGAATCACTTCTGAGTTGCTAAGGTCATTTAAACACAAGGGCACAGCTTGCCTAGTTAGTGTGTACAAGGCCCAGGGTTCATTTCCTAGCAATCCTACTCCCCACAAACAAAATCCCAGCAGCTCCAGCTACAGTCAGAGCTCCTGTAACACTTTTGCACTTAGCACTTCAATCCTCTTGTGTTGTGTTGTTGTTACTTGATTTCTTTTGAATTTTTATTTTTGCTGTTCATTTGCTTATGTTCTAAAACTTGGTCTGCCTGTGTAGTTTAGGACAGCATGCAACTCACTTCAATCCTGATTTGATTTCTACAATAATTTTAATCTGTTCAAAATGATTGTCTCTACTAATAATAAAAGGAGGAAATGAGTATGAAATCACTCTAAATATGCTTGCCTGGGAGAAATGCACCTCGCCAGGCGGTGGTGGCGCATGCCTTTAATCCCAGCACTTGGGAGGCAGAGCCAGGCAGATCTCTGTGAGTTCAAGGCCAGCCTGGTCTACAGAGCAAGATCTAGGACAGGCACCAAAACTACATGGAGAAACACTGTCTTGAAAAACCAAACCAAACAAACAAAAACAAAACAAAACAAAACAAACCTGCACCTCACTGACAAACACAAACAGGCTTTGTGTGAATGGATGAGAAAAGCCATTCTGAGAAAACTGAAGTTGAAAGCAAGCAGGTGTAGCTATACTTGAGTGTGATAAAGTAGATTTCAAGGCAAAATTAGTCAGAAGTAGTAAATCAGGTCACTTCATTCTGACTAAGAGGACATTACAATCCTGAGCAAATACGAATAGAACTCTGACATATGTAGTTTTCTAAAAATGTTATTGTGTGTAAAGCACAGACTCATCACAACAAAATACTCAGTACTTACCACACTAATAATAGATCGTCTAGATAAAAATGAATAAGAAGAAATATTAGAGTTAAATGATGTTATTAGATCAAATGGGCTTAACAGACATACAGAACATTCCACTCACTATATAATGCACATTCTTCTCAGTAGGTCACATTCTAAATAAGGCAAGTCTTACAAAATTTTGAAATAATTACTTGTATTTCTACCACAATGGAACAAAACTAAAAAATCAATAGCAAGAAACTACAAAAATAGATAAATTCAATGCAATTGGATATTGAAGAAATCAATGAGAAACTTAAAAATTCATGAAGCTAACTGAAAATGTGTCAGAACCTATAGGATACAATGAAGACAGTTTTACAAGGAAAGTTGATAGTTATGTTTAAAAAAAATTAGAGAAATTACAAATGACCTAATGATACAATTCAAGTTCTTAGAAAAACAAGTAGATTAAAAATAATAAAGATATGGGCTGGAGAGATGGCTCAGAGGTTAAGAGCACTGGCTGCTCTTCCAAAGGTCCTGAGTTCAATTCCCAGCAACCACATGGTGGCTCACAACCATTTGTAATGAGATCTGGTGCCCTCTTCTGGCCTGCAGTCATACATGCAGACAGAAACACTGTATACATAATAAATAAATCTTAAAAAATAAATAAATAAAAATAAGCAAATAATAATAATAATAAAAATAATAAAGATAAAGTCAAAAGTTAATTAAATGGAGATGAAAAGAGCTATATAAAGAATGAAATAAAGTATTGTTTTTTGAAAAGATAATTGATAAACGTTTAGTGAAACCAACAAAGGAGAGAGAATGAAGATCCAAATTAATGAGATTAGAGATCAAAAGGGAGACAAGACAACCAATGTAATTGAGAAGATCATTAGCACATACTTTGAAGACTCATATTCCATTGAACTGGAAAAATCCAAAAGAAACGTGTAAATTTCTAGACATATATGACCTATAAAACTTAACAGAGCTATGACAAGATTGAAACAGTGATTTCAAAGTGCCCAGATAGATCCACTGATGAATTTTATCAGGCCTTTAAGGATCCAACACCAATACTACTGAAGTAATTACATAAAATAATAAAAGAATGCAATTAGTCTGATTTCACAGTCAGTAGCACCCTGATACCCAAACTAGGACACAACATAAAAAGAAAATTATAAGCCAGACTTCCTGATAAACATGATGGCAAAAATTCTCAACAATATACTTGTAAACCTAATTCAACAAAGTAGAAGAATCATTCCCTGTGACCAGGTGGACTTTTTTCCAGAGATGCAAGAATGCTTCAGTGTACACAAATCGAATAACCACACAGACTCAAGGACAGAAGTCACATAGTCACAGAAAAGTCCACCATCTCTAAAAAGTAAGACTAGGAATAGAAATACCAGATCTCAGCATAAAAAAAGTTATTTATGGCAAGTCAGATAGTTGACATTACACTGTGTGGGAAACTTAAGGCCTTCTCACTGAGAGTAGGAACAAGACAAGTATGTTCCCTTTCCCACTCATATTTAATACTTGAAGTCTTT